CCAGTCTCTAAAGCATCCATTTTCTCCAGGAGACCTGATCTCTGTAGTCTGGAGATGAGCTATATAATTCCAGCGGATTCTGAAGTCCCACCTGGAGGCTGGCATCCCTAGATAGAAGCTCTGTGGCACATCGAACTCTGTGCATGGGTGGCAGCCCAGTTTAAGTGAGATGATGTGTGTGTGTGTGTGTGTGTGTGCAAAGTCTCACAGATTAGTAAGTTTTGAAAGCAATCCTAAACAGGGATGCAGTGTTCCCTCTAAGCTGAATTAGTGTGAGCTAGCTCACAGTTTTTTAGCCTCTAGCTCACACATTTTTATCTTAGCACAGGAAGGATGGCTCCAGAGCCAAGTAATTTATCCAGTAGCCAAATCACCTGCTCACAGCTTTAATGCCAGTAGCTCACAAAGTAGAAGTTTTGCTCACAAGACTCCACTGCTTAGAGGGAACATTAGAGGCAACTATGCATTGATGGATATTGTGCTGCTGTTTGTGTGGATGCAGCCTGGGGCTGCTCAAAATCCTACTGTAGTCAGTTCAGTGGGGCTTACTCTCAGAAAAATGTTAGGACAGCACTGTTTTAATAATGTCATGCTTTTATTGGGCCCAATTTTGATTATACTGTCAAGGAAGGACTTTGTATACATAAGCCCTTGGAAGCTTCTGTGTGCTTTGCGCCATTCTTATTATCTGGGCAGTTGTTTCAGCCATGTGATTGATGGCCCTTAAACTTTTTTTTAACCTTGCAGTCTCTTCTGCAAGCCCTCTTTTACATGTGCCACACACCATTTACATCTGCTTAGTTGTTCCTCTTCACCTGCCCTTCACTTGGGGTGCAGTCCTCACCCTGAAAGGAGAAGAACCTAAATGGCAGAAGTTGAGCTCCTCATCAGCGGAGGTGATGGGAACGAGGCTGAGGTTTTCATTGTGAGGTTAGATGCTCCACACTTGAGTTTCTTATTTGAAAGTGACACAGTTTCAAAAGCGCCATTGCTGGTAATTTAAGACTTATCTAAAGTACCTCAAGAATGAAAGCCTTGTGAATGGGAACCCTATGTAATATGAGCATATCATAGTCCAGGCCTTTAGCCCATCCTGTAGTGGTTCAGGATAGCTAGCTTTTCTTTTCCCTTTGCACAAGAGTCCTGGCTATTTGGGCCAGTGGTCTAGTGAAGGTGAAGACAGACAGACAAATGAGCTTAGCAGCAGACAGGTGAGCCAGCAAGGAGGACCCAAGCATCATTTTGACAGGCTGAGTATAAATTTGTAATATGGGTTTCCTACAGAGGTCATTTCGGGGGGGGGGGAACGCAGGGGAACGCAGTTCCCCCGGGTGAGGTACGGGGGCGGGGCACATGACGAAGCCCCGCCCCCTGCTTCCGGCCGCCCCACTTCCGGTCCTCATTCAGCCAGGAGGAGGCAGGAGAAGAGGGAGGGTAAGTTGCTTCCTCCCTGCCTCTCCCCACCCCTGCCTGCCTGGGGCCAGGGAGGGCCTTCGCGGGGCTTCCTTGCACTCCTGCCGGCCTTGCAGGTCCACCGCCGGGCCCCTCATGGGGCTTGGCAGTGGAGCTGCAAGGCCAGCGGTGGCGGCCGGGACCGTTGGGGGCGGGGTGTGTGGCCTTATGACACATTTCCGGTGATGTCAGGGGGTGTGGCCTTATGACACACTTCCGGTGATGTCAGGGTGTGTGGCATATGCTAATGAGTTATGCTAATGAGTTCCCCTAGCTCTTTTTCTACAAAATGACCCCTGGCTTCCTATATATACACAGTCCTCTCCTGTATGTACAGTTTAATGAGTCATGAAAGTTGGAAAATATTTCTGAAATGACATGATATCCTGGTAATGGAATTGTGGCCTCGGCTGGTCTTCACTGGGCCTTAGGATTCCACAAAACATACCTGTTTCCTTGGAAGAAGGGTGGAATAAAAACATAATGGCCAAGGAGTCCAGGCTGAACTCTGAAGATTCCCAGGGGTTATGTACACAAGTAGCCAAACTTTTAATAAATTGCATAAAGGTTTATTTATTATCTTTTAGAACAAAATGTTTAATCTACAGGCAACACAACACTCTAAAATGACACAGCAAGAAAAACAAGAAAAACTAGCTTAATTATTGAACACGTTTCCAAGACCTGTGTTAGATGGCACAGACCTTAAATTCAAGAGTCAAAGGCTTATGAGTTCTCTATGTTGCTGTCTATTGCAATATGAGCATATCGTAGTTCATGCTTTTAGTCCATCTGAATCCAAGTTAGACTCCTTTCTCCAAGCTCGTAGCTCAGTTATAGTTTTTCAGCCTATCAGCATCAGGTGATGACAATCAGGACATGTTCTTGCTGGAACCCTCTAGAAAGTTATCTCATTACTCCTGATTCCCCCTCCCATCCTATGGGCCACAGGTTCTCATGAGAAGCTAATTACCACATTTCCAGCTTGGGCCTTGAAGATGATAAGGGCAATGTAGGCAGAGAGACCCAATTAGCAGTACCTGCAAGATGGAATAAGTCCATTACTATTCACATTACCCCTTGAGAGGAATCAATGGTGCTTTGCCTCACAATAATGGATAGGGTTTTCCCTCCAGACTTGAGCTTTGGCTGTGTACTAATAAGTGCGTAATCAGGGAGCTGAGGGGCAAGCAACCAGGTAGACCGGGTCTTTACCCAGGTTTGCTCCGATTGAGGGTCCATGTAGAACCACATTGGCTTATGTCAGTTAACCCCAATTGGGTTGCTACTGGCACCAACTGCAGTGGTGGCATCTAAACACAGCAATAAGCAGGCAAGTTGCCAAAGTGATACAGAGAGTTAAGGCTGGCTGCCCGATTCCCTGACACAGGAGCTATGCTGGTTCTGGAGCTGTACACTTGCTACACTTAACCTTCCATTGTAGATTACTGGTACTGTCCAAAGTGCTCCAGTTCTTGTTTGAAAATTCTTCTTGATGTCAGGGCATATGCAGCCAAGAAGAGATCCAGGCCTCCTTTTTGTGCTTCTTACCTACCAAAAAAAGAAAACAGAGAGAGTTCTAGCAGGGAATGAGACTCCTTTCATGAGATTAGTTAAATTGCATGAAAAATGTAGACTTAAATGTGAGACTTTAGTAATTTTAGAGCCAGTGGGATTATAGTAGTTATTATAGTCATACTAGAACTGAGGAGACCAGGGTTCCAATTCCTACTCAGCCATAAACGATACAGGGTGACTTTGGGCCAGCCACTCTCTCCTGACTGAACAGTGGTTCTTGTGAGGATAAAATGAGAGGTGGAGAACTGTGTATGCTTTCCTGAGCTGGTTAGAAGATGGCTAGGATAACAGTGTGACAGATTATACTACTACTACTAAGTGCTGTTAAGTCACAATGAACTTATGGCAACCCCAGTGAGGGCCTTTCAAGGCAAGTGAGAAGCAGAGGTGGTTTGCTAATGGTTTCCTCTGCAGAGTCACCCTTGGTGGTCCCCCATCCAAGTACCAGCCCTACTGAGCTTCTGAGATCTGATGAGATAGGGCTATACCATACCATTCTTTTGTTGTTCAGTCGCACAGTCAAATCCAACTCTCCACAATCCCACGGACTACATCACGCCAGGCCCTCCTGTCTTCCGCCATCCTCCGGAGTTTGCTCAATTTCATGTTTGTGTCATCGGTAACACTGTCTAACCATCTCATCCTTTGCCGTCCCCTTCTTCTTCTTTTACCTTCAATCACTCCCAGCATCAGGGTCTTCTGAAAGAGTGCTCCCTTCTCATTTGGTGGCCATAGTATTTGAGCTTCAGCCTCTGTATCTGGCCTTCCAGGGAACAGTCAGAGTTGATTTCCTTTAGGATTGACTGATTTTATCTCCTTGCAGTCCAAGGGACTCTCAGGAGTTTTCTACAGCACCATAATTTGAAAGCATCTGTTCTTCAGCGCTTGGCCTTTCTTATGGTCCAACTCTCAGAGCCATACATTACTACCAAGAATACCATCACTTTTACTATACGGACTTTCGTTGGCAGGGTGATGTCTCTACTTTTTATTATGTTGTCTAGGTTTGCCATAGCTTTCCTCCCAAGGAGTAGGTGTCTTTTAATTTCATGGCTGCAATCGCAGATAATACTAGGACTACACAAAGTACCAGTAAAACAGATGTGTAAATACTAAACAGGTATGGTGAATAGATGATTGGACTCAGAAGCTGGGTTCAGAAGTCCATTTGGCCACCGTGCTCACCGGATGACCTTTGGCCAGCTGCTCTTTTCTCTCTTGGTGTTGGTGTTAGAGTAAAACGGGATAAAACCTTCTGCACATGCATGCACACACATGTGCACACTGCCTTAACTTGTTCAGAGAAATATAGATGTGACTAATAAATGATGTAAGTAACAGGACTCCAGTGGCACCTTAAAGATTAACAAAATTTATTCCAGCATAGACTTGCATAAATCACAGCTCACTTATCAGAGGCATGGGTGCATCCATCCATCAGACTGATTTATGCACACAACAGAAAGGTGGGGGAGAATGTTACAAAGAAGCCAGTTCAGAACAGGATCCAATCCACTTAATTTACCACGGGTACGAGACACTCCCAGTGTTAGGCAAACTGTAAAGCCAAGTGCACGGTGAATTGAGATAAGCAGATACAATAGGAAGTTACAGAGGTATAGTTAAAAGTAATTAACCTATGTAAGGGATGAGATATGCAAGATATTATCACCTATAATGGAATTTCAAAGGAAGACTCCAACTTGAAAACGGTTGGATTAGAATTCAAAACACCGCCTTTCCAGCCCTGGAGAGTTTAACAGTGACCTGGGATTCCTGACTCCTGATGGGTGCTAACATCTTGCATAATCCTTCCCCTTACAAATTTCTTTCTTATGCATGCAAATGTTGCCAGAGGGTTTTGTTTGTGGTATTTTTATTGGGTGGGGCTTCTTAATTTATCATCAAGAAAGGAAGGCACCCTAAGTCTGAAAGATTTTGACTCCGTTTTTCTGCTCTATGTTCCCTAGAGCCCTGGAAACAGCTGAATACTTGACTGAAGACTTGCTACAGGTGAGGTGTGGGTCTGATCTGTAAGCATGCACTTACCTGTACCTTCAGACATGGAGAGAGAGAGGGAGAGAGAGTCCTTGTGCTTGTGAGTCATGTTTTCCTCCTATGAGTCACAGGACAGCCTTGGAGTGGGTTTGCCCACTCTCTAAAACCATCCGGAGTCCACAGAGATAGTTGTGCCTATCTATTGCAGAAAGAAAACAGGAGAGACCTGTAATTCTAGTTGGGTAACCTGAAGAAAGGCGACATGGTATAAACCAATCTTATCAGATCTTGAAAGCTAAGCAGGGTCAGTCCTTGGATGGGAAACCAACAAGGAAGACAATGGCAAATCTCCTCTGCATCCCCCTTGCCTTGGAAGCCCCTTGCTGGTGTCACCATAAGTTGGTTGCAACTTGATGGCACTTACATATGTACATATGTAACCGTGTTAGTCTGTGCAAAAAAAGAAATTAAAGGAAAAGGGTTGGATTTATACCCTGCCCTTCACTTGGAGTCTCAGAGCAGCTTACAATCTCCTTCCCTTCCTCTCCCCACAACAGACACCTTTTGAGTCAGGTGGGGCTATGAGAGCTGCTCTTGAGAGAACACACAGCTGGCTGCATGTGGAGGAGGAGGAGTGGGGGATCAAACCTGGTTCTCCACATTTGAAAAGTACGCAGACGGAGAGTGATTTCAGCAAAGTGTACTTTATTCGATCAGGAACAAGACAGCTTTGGCCGGCTCGCATGCTGGCTTATATCCCCTGAGAAACTGCCACCCAAAACACACCCCTACTTCCCTATATGTTATTTACATATTCCCCATAGGCTCTCGGCCGGGAACCTAGCTCCCTGATTGGAGCGGGCTAGGATCCACATAGTCCATTGTCTCTTGGAGCGAAGCTCGGCGTTTGTCTCTGGACTTGTCTGGACTTGTCTGGACTGGATACATTACAATATTAGAGTCTGCCACTCTTAACCACTACACCAAACTGATGTAGTCCAGGGTCTCTTTAAAAGCTAACAAAATTTATTCCAGCATCAGCAGAGCCCATTTAATCAGATGCATGGAGAGTTTATCCATTAGGCAGAAGTATTTATACTCAAAGCTGCAGACAACCGAGGGGTGTGTGTGTGTGGGAGAAGTTACAAAGAACAGCCAGTTAAAAGCAGTATCCTGTGAAAAGCATAATCAGTTAACCCCCAACTGTAGACAGGCAAAGTAGGATTATCACAAAATAGGTCTAGTACCAGGTATGCCATAATATTTTTCAGGGCTCTTTTTGTAGAAAAAGCCCAGCAGGAACTCATTAGCATAATAGACCACACTCAACAGCAAAAACACATTAGCATATTAGGCCACACCCCTGACAATGCAGCTCATTAGCATACTAGGCCACATCCCCATGTTACCAGAAGTATGGTCGTCCAGCCACGCCCACCTTTTGCTTCTTATTCTGTTGACCTTGTTTGTGGTCAAAACCAGGGCTTTTTTTGTAGCAGAACTCCTTTGCATGCTAGGCCAGATACCCCTAATGTAGCCAATTCTAATGCGTTTGTGCTGTTGAGTGTGACCTGTTATGCTAATGAGTTCCTGCTGGGTGTGGCCAACTTGGGAGCCAGCCGGAACTCCATTCCTGTGCGTTCCTGCCCCAAAATAGCCCTGATATTTTTAAATTTTATTTATTTAATTCATTTATACCCTAACTTTCAACCCAGTGGGGACCCAAAGCATCTTACATCATTCTCCTCTCTATTTTATCCTCACAATAACCCTGTGAGGTAGGTTAGGCTGAGAGAGTGTGATTGTCCCAAGGTCACCCAGGCAGCATCCATGGCATGAGTGGGGATTCGAATGGGTCTCCCAGATACTAGTCCGACACTCTTAACCACTACACCACACTGGCAGATCCAATTAGAAAAAGACAGTGGTATAACAGAACAAAGGTTATAAAAAAATATGGAGACCTATAGCTAGACCCAATTTTCTAGTCACTTGTGTGGCTTTTCTCAGAATTTTTTAAAAAATCTTCTATATATGTAAGTATCGAACAAAATAGTGGAGAGACTTGTGGCACCTGGAAAGATTTATTGCGACAAGTTTTTTTGATAGTCCATAAAAACGTATCCTTCAATAAATATATAAAAGTGACTCTTTGTTGCTCTATGATTATCCCATGAATCGTAAAATGATAGGTACTTATTACAGTGGGTGGGGATCTCAAGTGCTAATCAAACAATGCATCTATTATTGCAAAGCTAAGAACAGAACCACTATGGGACTGATTCAGAATTCACAGCTACACACACACGCCCAACCACAGAAAAGTCTCCCTACATTCTGCGCCACAAAAATCTGTGCTTCTACATTCTTTTTGCATCTACAGTACTGTTGTCTGCCTCTAACTCAGTGAGATAAAACAGACTATTAAAATACATGGATGAAAAGCATGGAAGAAATGTGCGAAATAAAATATTTGCAAATATTTTATTGCTGTTGTTTTTATACCTTAATCTATGGCTGCCCAACCTGTGACATGGATGCCACATGTGGCTCTCAGAGTAACAGGAGTTCATGTCATGCACCAGGATAGAATCATAGAGTTGGAAGGGACTCCCAGGGTCATCTAGTCCAACCCCCTGCACAATGCAGGAAATCCACAAATACCTCCCCCCCCACATCCCCAGTGACCCCTGCTCCATGCCCAGAAGATGGCAAAAAAAAAACCCCAAAAAACCCCTCCAGGATCCCTGGCTGAACTAGCCTGGAGAAAAATCACTTCCTGACCCCAAAGTGGTGATTGGCTTTTCCCTAGGTGTGTAAGAAAGGGCTGTGAGAACTAAGGACTGGTGCAACCCTTCCTGTCCTCCCTTCTTGCAATCTGCCTAGGCTCACAGAATCAGCATTGCTGTCAGATGGCCATCTAGCCTCTGTTTAAAAAACCTTCAAAGGAGAGTCCACCAGCTCCTGAGGAAGCATGTTCCACTGAGGAACTGCTCGGTCAGGAAGTTCTGTTTTGCTGAAAACTCTTGTGATTTAATTTCAACCCATTGGTTCTAGTCCAACCTTCTGGGGCAACAGAAAACAACTCCACACCATCCTCTAGATGACAGCCCTTCAAGTCCTTGAAGATGGTTCTCAAATCACCTCTCAGTTGTCTCCTCTCCAGGCTAAACATACCCAGCTCCTTCACCCTTTCCTCCAGACCCCTCACCATCTTCGTTGCCCTCCTCTGGATACGGTCTAGCTTGTCTATATCCTTCTTAAATTGTGGTGCCCAAAACTGAACACAGTACTCATAGGAGCAGAAAGGGCCACATTGACTACAGCTAGGGTTGCCAGCTCTAGGTTGGGAAATATCTGGAGAGTTTGGGGGTGGAGCCTGAGGAGGGCGGGGTTTGGGGAGGGGAGTGGCCTCAACAGGATATAATGCCATAGAGTCCACCCTCCAAAGCAGCCAATTTCTCCAGGGGAACTGATCTTGATTGTCTGGAGGTCAATTGTAATAGTGGGAGATCTCCAGGTGCCACCTGGAAGTTGGCAACCCTGACTACAGCTGTTGTGATGAGTCAGACCTATATTAGCGTCTGTTTTTCCAGCCCTGTGGTGCTGCCTGCTTCAGGAGGACCCAGGATAGGCAGAGGAGAGGAAAAGCCAGCCAAGGGAGTCTGGGGTTTCATGCATATGGTAATACACGCTGATCAGCATGATCCCATTCCTTGGACTTGTGGCTAGTTTGCCCAACAGGCTGGGCGCTGTTAATCTGTACTTAGCATTTAGGGGTTCGCAGAATTTAGAATAGTTTCTTGCCAGAAATTCTGTACGATAGGGATAGGAACTGAGAGGCAGAAAAGATGCAAGGGCAGCAAAGGGCCTGGCTGGAGGCTTCTCCTTTAATCTCATGCGGTTTTTATCCTACCGGGGTACATGGCAGACACTCAACTTGCTCTACAGATCTGAGAACATGGTTGTCTTGCACGGGTTTCTTTCATTTCTGTGCAGGGGACTGATTCGAGCACACATTTCTGTGGTTGTGCCTGTGTGTAGACTGGATCATGCTATTAAAATATTTTTTTTAATGAACAAAGGAAGCCCTGTTCATGTGATAGTGATCATATACTTGTGATCATTATAGGAATCAGGCTGTGGTCTACACCTGCATGTTTCAAACCTGTGTCCATATATCCCTGAGGGCCAGGAAGGTTGTTCAAAGAATGAGACTTTCAGAAATCCAAATTCTACTTCCTATTCAGTGTAAACTCTCTTGAAATAAGAGCAGGCCAAACTATATTGCTCTCTGCAGCATTCTACAGGAATTCTTGGCAAAGGAACAGTTCCTGGATGTGAACAGGAATCAATGCATAGAGACTGGATTCTACTGTTTCTTTCCATTAACCATTTTCTTTTGCCTCCTATTTTCAAGATTGAACAAAGAGTTGAGCCTGCAAAGCGTGCAGCACATAATGTACACAAGAGGCTTGTGGCTTGCCTCCAGGGCCCATATGGGGCTGATGTGGAAAAACGTGTGGTAAGCACTTTTCTTCCCCCCCCCACACACACACTCTCGCAGTCCAAACTGTCCCCTGCTGACTCCCAATTTCTATTTATTTTTAATCTGGCCTCATAGGCGGAGAAACTTCCAAGATGATGAAAAGGCAGTGAGGGGTCAGATGTCTTGAATTAAATTAAAATTAAATTCTTTAATTTTAATATCTCTTGCAGAACCCATTCAAAGCATTGCCAAGATTTTTCTAATTGGGCAAAGGGATGTAGATCTGGTCCAGGGACTGGGCATAGAATGTAAAATATGGTGCTCTCTCTGTTTATATCCATACTGGTGGATTATGTGCAGTCTGCTGCTGAAGTTGTTTTGTTGCATACTGTTCTTGTTCAGCACTTTGATTCTGAATTTTCTCACATGTACTTTGTTAAACAGGTACATGCCTTCCTGTAGTTGGTCTGTACAGGAGTCTCATGCTGTCCCTCCCTGCAAACATTGCTCCCCTTTTTCTGCTTCATTTTCAGAGCATTTTTTCTTAGCTGTGTGCTGAATTTACACTAGGAATGTCAACTCTGAGAGATCTGGGGGATGGATCCAGGGAAGGGTGGGGTTTGGGAAGGGGAGAAACCTCAGTGGGGTATGATGCCATAAAACCCACCCTTCAATAGCGGCTCTGCTCCCCTTCTTCCTCAGTTTCATAAAGTTTATCTGACAAGTGACTCACATACCCACACACACCCCTTTATTGCACTGTGTAGGACGAGAAGAAGAAGAGACTGGATTTATACCCCGCCCTTCACTTGGAGTCTCAGAGCGGCTTACAAACTCCTTTCCCTTCCCCTCCCCACAACAGACACCCTGTGAGGTGGGTGGGGCTGAGGGAACTCTGACACAAACTGCTCTTTTTCAAGGACAGCTGTGCCAGAGCTTGTGACTGACCCAAGGTCACATCAGCAGGTGCAAGTGGAGGAGTCGGGAATCAAACCCGGTTCTCCCAGATTAGAGTCTGCACACTTAACCACTACACCAAACTGGCTTGGAATAACTGCTGTCACTATTGAATTTGGAAATTATGTGTGTGCACTTTCAAGCTACCATTGCTGAATCAGGGCAACAGTGGTGGTAAGCAGAACTCTTTCCTGTCTTCTATTGCCAATTTTTATCTATTGTTATTCCCTTTTATGACCAAAGGTATTGGCAGGTGCTGGTTCAGAGCACTCTGCTTAATTTTGTTGCAGGGAAAAGTTGGAGATTCACTAATTCATTGTCTCTTCTCATTTTCCAATTTTGTGCAGAAAAAGTTGTCTTTGATGTCACTGTCTGTTACCATGGCCGAGAGCTTCAAAGAACTAGACACTGATTCCAGCCTTGGGTAAGACTATGATATTTCATGCCACATGCACTCTAGGGTACTGGTTTCGAGCTTTATTGTAAGGGTTGCCATCTCTGCCCCCTTTTTGGTTTGGAAAATGTCCCTTGCATTGCAAACCGAGCATCATCTTTTGCAGGATGACAGAACTCTTAAAAATGTATATTCTATTTCCAAGAAGTTTGCTGGCTGCCGGCAATGCTGATCTTGGAAAAACTTTGCAATGAAGCAGGGGCAATAAGAATACAACAGGGCTCCTTTGCTTGTGTGATCCAGGGAGAAATAGGTTCTGGTTGTGTACACTAATCATTTTTTTCTTCCTCCTCTGCCTACAGGAAAGCTTTGGAAATGAGCTGCTTCATTGAAGGCATGCTGGCCAAGATCTTAGCAGAGTTTGAAATGGCTCTTGAGCGAGAAGTCCTACAGCCTCTGAATAAGCTGAGTGAGGTAGTCTTCATTTCTCTCCTCCCCCTACTTCTGTTTTCCCTCTTCTCTGCTTGCTCTTCTGTTGGCTCCCTCTCCTCCTCTTCCTCCTCTGCTTTTCTGACTGTGTTACATGACTTACTGCATGCAACAGGAACACAGACTTTTCCTAACAAATGGGTAGGAGCTGCAATGACTAACTTCCCCCATCCCAATTTCTCCCAGGAGGAGCTGCCCGTCATCCTGAAACACAAAAAGAACCTTCAGAAACATATTCTGGACTGGAACACCATCAAGAGCCGGTACTAAGAGAGGGCTATGAGGAGAATGGAGTGGGACTGGGCTGGGCTTCCATGAGCCTGACAGAGGGGGATGAGTGGGGGAACTCTCTGCCCGAGAGCAGAAATAGGACAGAATCCTTGAACTGCAGCCCCTGTTCAGCTAGCTTCTGAGGTACATTTGCAATTGGTGCATTAGCTCCACTGTAAACAGTATCTGCCATTCGAGGCAGTGAAATGCCGCGTAAGAATATGTACAGGTGATCGTAGGCTGAGAGGCAGATGGTTTTGCTAGCTGGGGAAGCATGTGACTATGTTTTAGTCATCCTGGCTGTAAAAGAGGCAAACCTAGAGAGAGCAAGCGAGGGGAGGCTGCATAAATGCTCAGCCAAACACGGGGGGGGGGTGTCACTCAAGTACTAAATCAACATGGAAACAGAACTGGGAATATTCATATTCCTGTAATAGCTGCTTCCCTTATGGATGCCTACTAACAGTTTCTATCTGAGTCTGTTCCACCACACACAATGTCCTGTATTACTACTTATTTTCACTTCCTGCCTGTCCACATGCACAAAGCCACAGATCAGGAGTGTTTTCATGTATCTTTTCAACCAGCAGAAAGTTATTCACATATTAACTTGTGTGTGTGTCAGTGGGAGTAAACTACCACTGTTCCTCACTGAGAAGAAAGCCACTGGCTAAGCTATGTTCCCTTGTACTGGACGGAGGCTACTGATTTTGCATGATAACACACAGTGCCATCCTAAGCAGAGTTACACCCTTCTAAATTCATTGAAGTCAAATGGCAGAACTCTGCATAGGATGGTACTGCAAGTCACCCAGCCTGGTCACATGACCTCTGGCTTGAACATCCTTCCAAGTAAGAGCTGTTTGGATTTTGCAAAACCAGAGGTCATTTCGGGGGGGATCGCGGGGGATCGCAGTTCCCCCGGGTGAGGTACGGGGGCGGGGCACATGACGAAGCCCCACCCCCCCCCGCTTCCGGCCGCCCCGCTTCTGGCCCTCATTCAGCCAGGAGGAGGCAGGAGAAGAGGGAGGGTAAGTTGCTTCCTCCCTGCCTCTCCCCACCCCTGCCTGCCTGGGGCCAGGGAGGGCCTTTGCGGGGCTTCCTTGCACTCCCGCCGGCCTTGCAGGTCCACCGCCGGGCCCCTCATGAGGCTCGGCAGTGGAGCTGCAAGGCCGACACCGGCGGCCGGGACCGTTGGGGCGGGGTGTGTGGCCTTATGACACACTTCCGGTGATGTCAGGGGGTGTGGCCTTATGACACACTTCCGGCGATGTCAGGGGGTGTGGCATATGCTAATTAGTTATGCTAATGAGTTCCCCTAGCTCTTTTTCTATGAAACGACCCCTGTGCAAAACCCAATGCAAACATCTTCAGCCAGTGTTCCAAGTCTCTCAACTATTGAATGCATTTGCCACAAAATTTGTGGCATCCCTAAATGGAATAGTTTGTGTTTGGGTTTCCCATTTGACATGCAAACATGTGACTTGCTTGCATGTGGGAGCTGCATAAGTTACGGTGTGCCAGCCATAATGGCTCTCTCTCACACACACACACACACACACACACACACTGTGACAACTGAAAAGTTGTTAAGAAAGCCTGGCAATTGCTAACATGTATTCAATCTTTGTGTCTTTTCTAAACATGTTGCTTTCTAATTTTTGAATGCCATCAACCTCCTGCTCCTGTCCACCTCTCTGGCTTTTCTTTGGAAACCTGAAGTTTGAACCAAGCGGCCAAGAACTCCGGTAACAGCGTCAATGCCAACACTGGCCCAGCAGCATCCTCTGCTGCGATCAAACTGGAGAATCTGAAGGAAGAAGAAGAAGAGATGAAAAGGCGGGTTGAACAGAGTAAGGTGGGTGCAAATTGAGATTCTGCTGTTAAAGATTAATTTAAAAGTACTTTCCCAATTCTGGAAAGGTAAAATACATAAAAACTTAAAAATGGGAAACATGAAAAGATTTCTGGACTTAGCACAGCATCATGGTTAAGATAATAATGTGTTGTCATTCAGCTCCAACTCACTAGTATGTGGCCTTAAGCAAGCCACTTTCTCACAGCTTCCATCCACCAGAAAGCAATATGTGGATAATAACACAGACCTGTTCTACCGGGGCAGTTGTAAGGATTACTGGCCCAACAGCTGCTTTCAGACAGGAATTTTACCCCATCTGGACAGTGGAAAGCCCCTACTGTACTTGGGAGTACCCACATGACATTGTGCCCATATCTTCCCTGATGGGCTGGATTATTTTTTAAAAACTCTCTTAATCTGGCTCATTGGGGTGGATGCTTTGCCCATAGCCAATACAAGAAGTGGGTGGAGGTAAGCTTTGCCTTCAAAACATACAACGATATGTGCCGCTCTTGTATCTGGAAATTAGGTAGAGGTTTCCCTTGCTCGAAAGCCAGTCAAATCCGACTCTAGGGATGCGGTGCTCATCTCTGTTTCCAAGCCGAAGAGCCAGTGCTGTCTAAAGACATTTCTGTGGTCATGTGGCCAGCATGACTAGACGCCGAGGTGCACAGAACGCTGTTACCTTCCTACCGAAGCGGTACCTGTTTATCTACTTGCAATTTCTTGCTTTCGAAACTGCTAGGTTGGCAGGAGCTGGGACCAAAGACGGGAGCTCACTCCATCATGCAGCACTTGGGTCTCGAACTGCTGAACTACCGACCTTCCGGTCTGCAGTTCAGTGTCTTAACCACTTGAGCCACCGCAGCTCCCATCTGGAAATTAACTGCTATCTAAATATGCTGTAACAGGGATGTTGCAAGGGGGCTGTAATGTAGTAAATAACAAGAAAGAAGGGGGTGTTTCTGTGCTCAGCATTTGATGAAGGGAACAAAGAATAATGCTCACCGCATCTTGTCTCACAGGATGAGTACATGGCAGACCTATACCACTTTTCCACCAAGGAGGACAGCTATGCTAAGTACTTTATCAAAGTAAGTCAATTTCCCTGTCTCTGTTCTGTCCTTCACTTCATCCTCCTGTGTGCCACCATCTCTTCTTCTCAGTCCCTTGCCTTAAAGCGATATAGCCTTTCACACAGCAGCTGCTTCTGTTTGCAAAAGGTCTATCATAATAACCATCTATCCAAGCACCCCTGTCTGCTTCACTGTTTTGGGATTGATAGGGCTTGCAAAAAAATAACCACAGATCAGAATACAAGCTGTGTTTGTATTTTCTGTATATGACAGTTGCTGGAAATTCAAGCGGAGTATCATAGGAAGTCCTTGGGATCTCTGGACGCTACCTTGGCAGAACTGAAAGAGACTCATAGTCAGCCAGGTACAAGCCAAATTATCTTTTGTCATGTCAAAGATGGGTCAAAATGTGGGTGGGTTTCTATTAGGGTTGCCAGGTCTGGGATCTTCTGCTGTGTGCACTAAGCAGTGACGTCGCCCAGAAGTGATGTCATCACACCGCTGACATCAGGGGGTGACACTCTAGTTTTGAGCAAAACTTATGGTTTGTAGCCAATTTTACCATAGAGTTTTGCCCAAAAACTAGAGCATCACTGTGCAACATCAGCAACATGATGACATCACTCCTGGAAAGTGTGGGAAAAGGTGGGGCTTGTCCAAGATCCAGTGGATCCTGTATTGCTCTTATTGATCTACATGTGGAACATTGCCCCACAACATAAAGAAGTGGTAGCCAATAAGATGATTAGAGCTAGAATATTGTAGGCTACATACTGGGAAGAAGTGGAAGTAGCAACAGCTAAGGAATGGCAAAGTGAAATTGTGAGGCTATGCAGTAATGTCCAAAATAACAAATTTCATTGCAGTTAATGAAGAAAAGTGGGCTAGGGACACTTTTTATTGTAAATAAAGAACAACTGGCACAAGGTTTGTTGGTTTCTGTAAAAGAAAATTAGATATTGATATGATTAAGAGGTGATTTCCTGGATGTTTATAAGATCGGTGTTGATGTTTTTGTAATCTTCATTTGCTATATTTTAATGAAAAGAAACAAACGCGTGTGGCAGTGTTCCCTCTAAACCACAGAGTCTTGTGAGCAAAAATTCTACTTTCTGAACTCCTGGCATTAAAGTTGTGAGTGAGCGATCTGGCCACTGCATAAATCAGTTTGCACTGGAGCCATCCTTCCTGAGCTAAGACAAAAATCTGTGAGCTGGAGACTAAAAAACTGTGAGCTAGCTCACACTAACTCAGCTTAGAGGGAACACTGGCGTGTGGTAGGAGGCCTGACTTGCAGGTTGCAAAGAGACAAAAGGGTTCCTGAGTCAGCCCCAGAGCACCACACCCTTACAATGAGCGTGGAGGAAGAGACTGGATTTCCATACCGCTTGCTCCCACCAACAAGCTGTCTGTTGCCTATTTTTAAAGTGCCATCAGCTGCTTTCCTTTGGGTGCACTTCTGCTGTCCTTTTAAGAGCAATCCTAAATTGGTCTGCTCAAAATCTGACCCAAGTCTTTTCACTGGCTTACTCCCAGGAAAGTATTCTTAGGATCACACTGGGAGTAATAAGAAAAGCCAAGAGTGGGAAGAAATTGTCACCTGGATTCCTTTAATGTTGAGCTTCTGAAGCCGTCTCTGAGAGGGCATCGTGGCACTGTCAGCAGCTTTTGGCTATCTGTTCTGCTAGAAAACGGGATATTCTTCCAACTGTCCCCAAAACCTGGTTGAATGGTCACGCATTGTGGAAATCTTCCAACCAATGTATTATAGAAATAAAAATCACTCTAGATCATCTGTCCAGTGGGCTTTACCCTTTGTCTTCTCCAAAATTTCTTCCTGTTTTTCAGACTCCCCATTCCCAATGGATACAGCTGTGCTAGGAGTATATGGGATGCCTCTAGAAACTCATTTGAAGAACTCTGGGCGGGAGATTGCACTCCCCATTGAAGCTTGTGTCACAATGTTGTTGACTTCAGGGATGCAAGAAGAGGTAGCTGCCATCGCTATCCTTTCCTTTAACATTAGGGTTGCTGGATCCGATATCCACACTGGTGTGGAGTGGGAGGAAGCGGTGCAGAGGGACAGGATGCACTGACATGTGGAAGTGATGTCATTGCATCAGGGATGCTCTTGGTTTTAGGCAAAACACTATGGTAAAATTGGCATCAAACCATAGCTTTGCCTCCAAAACCAGAGCATCGCATTGTGACATTCCCAACATGATGACGTCACTTCTGCGTGACGTCAGCATGTTGGGGACGTCATGCGGCGACACCGCTGTTTGGGGGTGAGGTTTCCCCCACCCCAGCTGGCCAGTATCCACCAGAAGCCCCCAAAACTGGGGGATCCCCCGCTCAGAACTGGGGAATGGCAACCCTATTTAACACAATTCCTGATATTCACGATTTTCTCCCTTATCCATTATACTAGATCTTGAGGGCTCTCAATTAAGATGATGGGCAATACAGCGTATTTCTTCACACAGCCCCTAAGCAATTTATTGGAATTCACTGTGACAAGATATAATGATCGTTCAGATGGCTTCAAAAAGGGATTAGACATGACAGATAGGTCCATCGATGGCTATTAGCCATGATGGCTAAATGGAACCTCTATGTTCAGAGGCAGTGTATCTTTGAATATCAGTTGCTGGGAGAAACTACTTAGGGAGACAGTGGGCCTTCTTGTAGGTGTTCCAGGGTATCTAGTCAGCCACTGTGGGAAACAGGGTGCTGTATTTGATTGATCATTAGTGTGATCCAGCGTGGCTTGTCTTGCGTTTCTTTCATTGCCACTCTCTAGGGGCTCTTCCGGTTGGCAGCTGGGGCTTCTGTGCTGAAGAAGCTGAAATACTATCTTGCCATTGGCTCAAGTGCTCTAGACGAATTCTATGCAGACCCCCATGCAGTGGCAGGTAGGTATTTAAACATCTAGAGGTCTCAATACAAAGCAGTCTGGCTTTCTCTCTCTGATGGCTAGACACATCATAGCATTTCTTACAAGCATCTCTTTGCTTTCATCTCAGGTGCTCTGAAATGTTACCTGCGGGAGCTGCCCCAGCCCTTGATGACCTTTGAACTCTATGATGATTGGCTCAAAGCTGCCACGTAAGACAGATGTGTTAGAGGTCTTTCCCAACAGCTGCTGTCTGAGATCCTTTAACTGGAGATGCCAGGGAATGAGCACGGGACCTCTTGCATGCAAAGCATGTGCTCTATGACCGAGCATCCCAATGATTTCATTTCAGTGCTAAGTTTAGGTTTATTTAACTATCGGATGACCTGTACTGTCTGCACAGCTGGAAATGCAATTTGCATAGGTCACGTTGCACAAAATTAAGGAGGGGGCATATGTTCTTATCACAAGCAAGGTATAAGTGATACCCTCCAACTGATTTTTTTTTTTTTAAAAAGGGGAAAGAACGCAATTATATACACCCTTGCCTGCGGTAAGAATCTTTAAACAATGAAACTTACTTCCAAATAACTGTCAGCAGTCATGAAGGACTTCGTCCATCATATGTGATGGTGGACAGATCCCATATAACATCTCACAGGTTAAACTACAGCCTAAATAGATTCCTGAATATGAAGGCACATAATATATCACTTCTGCTGAAACAAAGTACATCTGGGACTAATCAGTGCTTGGATCTGAGATTTCCTGGGAATCCTACACATGTCATCCTGAGGTCTGTGATAGAAGGGATTAATTAATATGATTATCAGCCAGACATTGACCTAAATACATGCTGCTATTAGGCAATCAATACAACCATTAATATAAGTGATGATATGGGTTGGATGGATCCCTTCTCCTTTTGCTTAGTCTTAAAATATGTTTATCCCAGCCTTTCAGAAGGCTCAGAGTGACTAAAAACAATAATGTCATATGTTAAACTTTTAAACCACAAAATTAAAACCTCTGCCCTGTTTTCAACAGGGATAAAGCACAACCATATATTATATTGGATGCCACTGCATACAAAAACCACCACCGGAATAGGTGTGGGCAATTTTCAAAATTAACAGAAGATTTCTGGAACGGATAAGTCTTGGTGGCATAGAGCCAAGGGCAGGGCTGGTTCACACAGAGGTGGGAAAAGCTGCTCCAGCTGTGCAAGCAGCAGTGAGCACAAAGGAGGCATGTGGGGATGACACTCACAGGTAGGGAGACCTCCCACTTGACTTTCCATTGTCCACCAGCCTGCTGAAAGCTGTCAGGAGGGATTTCTTTTGGTAAAAAGCTCCCACATCATGCCAGCAATGTGACATCAGTTCGGTATCCACTGGAAGCGACATCACCCTGCTGGTGCCATTTCCTGCACCCCACCCTCTTGTCAGGTGGGAATGCCATCCCCACAGGCCAGCCTTCAGCTGACAACCCTATTCACATGCCCTATCCCCACACCCCTCACTGTTTGTGCCACCCCTTCCCATCCCCTACTTCGTTGTTCCTGGAGCACCAACTATATGTGCCCCCTCGCCCAGCTGGTGCAGAGTTTTGGGCTGGGGTGTCACCAGTACGCTAATGACACCCAGCTTTATTTGTTAAATGGGTGGCCACCCAGATACTGGCCCGCAAAATCTGGCTGAGGGTCTAGAGGCCGTGGTGGGATGGTTAAAAAAGAGCCAGCTGAGACTGAATCCGACTAAGATGGAGGTTCTGTGGCGGAGGGGGGGTTCGGGATTGGGATGTAATCTTCCTGCCTTTGATGGTGTGCCATTTACACCGGCACAGACTGCCAAGAGCTTAGGTGTGGCCTTGGAAACCTCCTTATCCATGGAGGCCCAGGTCACGAACGTTGTCAAGCTGGCATTTGCCAGTTTGCATCAAGCACAGCAACTAGCCCCTTTCCCTTCCTGCCCTGACCTAGCCACAGTAATCCATACAATGGTCACCTCCAGGCTAGATTACTGTTACTCACTTTGTGCTGACCTGCCCTTGAGACTGATCCGGAAACTCCAGCTGGTCCAGAATATGGCACTGTGAGTCCCGATGGGAACACCAAGGACAGCACATATTAAACCTGTTCTGCGCCAGCTACACAGACGTCCAGAGGAGTACTGGGTCAGGTTCAAGGTTTTGGTATTGACCTTCAAGGCCTTGGGCGGTCTGGGACTGTTAGCCGAACCGCTTTATCTACAGCAGTTGGCAAATTTTACTCTGGGTATTTGCCAGCTATACCAAGGTCCAGTCCACCCCAAGGGTTTGCCAGTGAAAGAGTCGAGGCTGGTGGTTCCAAAATAATCTGTCTTTTACTTAAGAATACATAAATCACATACAAACAATGATGAAGCACACACACATTCAATCAAGTTCCTTAGGAATACAGAATTACAAAGAATCACTTTTGCATTCACAGGTGGGGTGATAGAGAGCAATACTTATCTGTCTTGAAGCTTGTTAGTTCCAATGAAGAATGGAGGGTCAGAAAATAAGAAGCTAGGGGAGTTAACACACAGCTAAAACCAGCCAGCTTGTGTGGGTCTCTTAACTACAGATTAAGAGATCAAGTGGATTCAAGGGTTTGGGACAGAAAGCTGGACAAAAGAGGAGTTTAAAAGCAGACAGGGGGTGGGGGGGAGGCGGCTAGCAAGGGCCAAGCGACTGGTCCTTGTCTTTTATAGGTGGATCTTTGGGTGGGTGGCATCTGTGCCAGCCTGTGGACCCACCTACCTGTTAGTCTGTCCCAAAACTAATCTCATTGGCTGCGTGCAGTGAGGGGTGGCCAATATTGTAACTCTAGATCTAACTCAAAGGATGACATCTGGGCAAGTGTGAAAGTTGGCATCAAGGAATCTCCTTGATGTGCAGATGAAGCTCGGCCATTCCCTGGTCATCAAATGCGCATCTGGCAGGAAATGCTCATTCAGATGTAAAGCAGAGATGTGGAATACGTGTCTTTCAACAGTTCATGAATGGGGGCTGCTTTTCCCTAAGTTGTGGTTTCTGCTGACAATAATAGCGATGTGTGCTTTTCTCCCTCAGGCTAGTAGCTGTGTATTTGAAACCTCATTAACATGCAAGGCTTAGAGCAGTCACCCACGGAGAGGGTTGTAAAGGGCTCCCAGGTCCCCACCTGGCACGCTTGCCTCAGTGGGTGGGCGAGGAGGGGGTGGGTGGCCTCTGGGCAGCTTCTCCTGCTCGCCGGCCTCGGAGGTCTTTCCCTGCAGGTATGCCTCAGCGGCCGGGCAGGGAAAGGTGGCGCAGAGGCCTCGAGAGGTCCCACACCAGCTGCCGCTCCCGGAAGCCTGCGAGCGGCCGTAGAAGCCAGGCGGGGGGGGGATCAGGTGAAGAGGGTGGCGCGGGGACCTCAGAAAGGTTCCGCAGGGGCCTCAGAAGGTCTTTCCCTGCCCAGCTGCCATGGCCGGTGAGCGGGGAAAGGTGGTGGGAGATACTGTGGACGGCTGGCTGACTGGCGCGGCACCACCGTGGTCGTCCTCAGCGTCCCAGGAGGCACATAGATCTATACGGAGACGTGGTTCTTGAACCCCAGGTCAGTGCGGTGCTCTTTCTTCCCACTCCCAGAAGGGAATCACAGACTTTCCACACTCTTCTCTTTCAGTGTCAAAGAGCCAGAAAGTCGATTGGAGTTGCTCAGGGACGTTTGCAACAGTCTCCCCAAAGACAACTACAACAACTTGAGGTGAGGCCCACGGGTCAACATTTTGGGCTGAAAACTTCGAACCTTTAAGCAACCCCCCCCCCAAAAAAAAACAAACAACAACAGGTCCAACACAGGTTCTCTGTGCTCAGGAAAAAGCTTTGCCTTTTGAATGCCGTCTTATTATGCAACAGACAAAGAGACCAAGGCCTCACTAGACAATCCAAACAATATTTCCTTGCCCTTCTTCCAACAGGTATCTGATCCGGTTTTTAGCCAAGTTGGCTGAGCATCAGGAAGTGAATAAAATGACCCCAAGCAACATTGCCATTGTCCTAGGACCCAACTTGTTATGGCCCCAACAGAGTGAAGGGTAAGGTATGGCGCTCCCAGGAAACAATTCTGTAGGTGTGGTCCAAACATTTTGTAAAAATATATAAAAATGATTTGCAGAGTTTTAGACAGAACGTCAACAAGAAAAACAAGATGAAATAGGTATATTAAAGAAGATCAATAAGCTAGGAAAATGCCCCAGAATGGGAGCGGGAGGAGGTAGAACCCATGTAGTTCTGGATTCATAAGGCTGCCATGCTCCAGGCGGGGCCTGGAGATCTCTTGAAATTACAGTTGATCTCCAGACCAATGCTCCCTCTAAGCCATGGAGTCTTGTGAGCAAAAATTCTGCTTTGTGAGTTACTGGCATTAAAGTTGTGAGTGAGCGATTTGGCCACTGCATAAATTAGTTTGCTCTGGACCCATCCTTCCTGAGCCAAGACAAAAACCTGTGAGCTGGAGGCTAAAAAACTGTGAGCTAGCTCACACTAACTCAGCTTAGAGGGAACACTGCTTCAGACTAAGGGTTTCAGCTCTCCTGGAGAAAACGGCAGCTTCCAAGTGTGTGGACTGTATGGCATCTCATTCCTACTGAGCTCCATCCCCTCCTCAGACTCTACCTTCTCCAGGTTCCACTGCCAAATCTCGAGGAATTTCCCAAACTGGAGTCAGCAGCTCTATAATATAGAAACAGGTGCCCATACTAAAAAATTCACTTCATTCAAGTAAGCACATCCATATGAGTTTGCCAGTTATCTTCAGTAATATATAAGTTATATGGATGGCAGTAACTTAGCTCTTCAGAAATATGTACACAGGAGCTGCTAGAATCTAACTGGGAAAGGTGCAGTACACTTACACTTACCAACATTGTGGCATGTAGCAAGGATGCAACATTTAATCTAGGACATTTCTGGCCTTTTGGTGTAGCTGTGGGGTTGCCAACCTCCAGGTAGGGCCTGGAGATCTCCCAGAATTACATCATCTCCAGTTAACAGAGATCCATTTCCCTGGAGAAAATGGCTGTTTTGGAGGGTGGACTCTGTGGCATTATACCTTGGTGAGGTCCAGCTATTACCCAGGCTCCATCCCCAAAATCTCTAGGAATTCCCAACCCAGTGTTGGCAACCCTAATTACAATATCTAAGGGCAATATTTAGAATGCTGGGTAGAAGAAGAAGAAGAAGAGATTGGATTTATACCCCGCCCTTCACTTGGAGTCTCAGAGCGGCTTACAGATTAGAGTCCACGCACTCAACCACTACACCATGAGTAATGAGCCCCCATTGGTCTACCATTCTTTTGCTGCCTTTTGGAGGGACCAGCTGCTTAGAGAGCAACGGTGTCATGCCTCCTGCCTCGGGATGCATGCTGAGAAGAGCTGCAGGTCTAAGGAAGGGATTTCACAAATTAGGACACATCAATCTCCAGTTCTAACATATTTGTTACCTATGTTGTTGTTTTTCCCCACAGTTGAACCGAAACAGATGATAACCAGAAACCGAGCTTGTCATTCTTTCGATCTGTTTAAAAAAATATTTTCACTATTTTGCATATGAATTTAACAAGCCACCAATATATACAACTATGATATGTAATTCCATTTCATCGTCTGACGAAGTGTGCATGCACACGAAAGCTCACGTCTTGAATAAACCTTTGTTGGTCTTAAAGGTGCCCCACTGGACTCAAACTTTGTTCTATGGCTTCAGACCAACACGGCTGCCCACCTTGACCAAGCTTGTGTAGCTGTAACCCATATCTCTGTCTCAACCACTACACCAGAGTGTAGTGTAGTACTCTGGAGAACAGGGTTTAATTCCCCCATTCCTCCACATGAAGCCAGCTGGGTGACCTTGAGTCAATCACAGTTCTCTCAGAACTCTCTCAGCCCCGCCTATCCCACAGGGTGCCTGTTGTGGGAAGAGGAAGGGAAGAGGCCCTGCAAGGCCAACTATATACATTCCCACCCGGCACCCCTATATCCCATTGGAGGGTTTGAATTTCCTGCCAAGATTCTATTGGTGGGCTCGAGGTGGACTGGGATCCTAGGTCCCCTTTGTGTTTGAGGACCAAGCTCCTGCTTTAGCCGTGGACCCCTGGTTGCGGTCCGTGTACATAACAAGTAGAGAAAAGCAGGGTACAAAACCCAACTCTTCTTCTTCTTCCATCTTCAGTAAGGTTGTCAAATCCAGACACTGAAAGGGTTTCTATATCTTTAAGAGCAGTAAAAAAGGCTGAATTCCACTTGGTAAACTTTCAGTACTCGCAGGTATCTTGTGGGAAAAGCTAGTGAAATTCACAATGTTATGCAGTTCTGTGCCAGAAAGGATGGATGTGCCTCTTGAGATGTTGGCTTTGTTAATCTGCTTAACATTGTTCTTGATGGCTTTTCTTTCCCAGGAGCTCTGTGCAACTAGATATGGCCTCTGTATCCTCTATACAAGTTGTGGGAGTTGTGGAACCCCTAATACAAAATGCTGAGACTCTATTCCCAGGAGGTAATCAATTATCTGTTGACTTGATGGGACTGAGACCAGCTCAATAACCAATACCTCATTGTGACTGAGAGTGGCAAAAGCTTCTGTGTGGTCATAGACAGAAAAGCCATGGTGTCTTTTGTGGGGGTAGGAGTTCTGTATATTTCTTTTCCTCTTTATCAGAGCTATGTCAGAAATAATGAAATCATCCATATGCTGATCCAAGTATCTTTAAAAACTGGAGGGTCAGGGAGACTTTCCCCTCAAATCCCTATCGGGAGAGGGGTTAAGCAGGGGTGCATTCTAGCCCCCCACTTGTTTAATCTTTTTCTTAATGATTTTGCCCCTTTTCTGTCACTAGTTGATGGCCATAGCCCTAGACTCGGCTCGGCTCTTATTCCCTTGCTGTTATACGCGGACAACATGGTTCTTTTGTCTATATCCCGTGTTGGATTAAACCGCTTATTGCCACGAATATTGTGTGATTAATAGATTGGAGCTGAACTATGAAAAATCAAAGGTATTGGTCTATCCCTATTCCCGGAAATTATATAAGTGGACTATTAATGGCAATACATTTGAACAGGTCAGGCACTTCAAATACTTGGGCGTCCACTTTCATTCTAGTGCCACCTGGACCCATCACTGCAGAATGGCTATTAATGTAGCTAAAGTCTGTGCCGCAGCAATCTCTCGTTTTTACTTTTCTGACTATGGAAACCAATATGTGCCAGCTGCACTCAAAGCTTTTAATGCTAAAACTGGAGCTCAAGTATTGTGTGGAGTACCCCTCTGGATAGATGCAATTGACACTTCAGTGGAACATGTCCAATCTACCTTTTTGCGAAAGATCATGGGGGTACCCATGTGTGTTCCATATGCTGCCTTATGTTTGGAGTGCGGACAGAATATGATGGCTACTAAGGCATGGATCCACACCATTAAATTTTGGTTGTGACTCCAACTCTGACCCCTCTAGTTATCTGTATCAATTACTTTCTGAATCTGTCAATTCTAGCTGGCTATCTCACATTGAAACCAAAGTATGCTCCTTGAACATACCCTTAGAATCTCTATCCTTGCTTTCTGAGCCTGAGGACAGACATTCCTTGTTTGTGGAGCAGAACTTAGATCAGAGGTAGTGCTAACAAGTATGTGGGTAATACATGGAATCATAACTTAATTTAGTCATATTAACTTTACATGCCACTGTTCAAAGCTGCTTACAAGATGCTTCATTCAAATATAATCTGTCTGCAAAGTTAAGTAACCTGAAACATGAATATAACTATTATGCTGAAGTTTGTTTCAATTTGGTTGCCTCTTCCCCCCAGCAGTGTCTGTTTCTGTACATCATAAAACATTGCACTATAATTAAAAAGTTTACAAAATAATTAATTCAGCAATTTGCAAAATTTTCTGCAAAGTCCTTTAAAAAAAATTGCATTGATTTTCTAAAGGATTTATAGAAAGATTCCAGACTTACAGCAGGGGCCACTCTGTGAGAAAGGCATTCCAGAATGAAGATGGATATAAGTTTCTGAGGCTTTTGAAATCAATAAAATGCGCATTAATTAGATAATTTATTTATAAAATGCTGCTTCTCCAGACTTGCTATATATGTGGTGCTTTGAAAACTAGAAGAGGGGCAAAACCGAGGGGCTGAACCAGTGATCCAGTGCCCTTCAGGTTGTCTCATTCATTTTATTGGTTGTTTTCTAGATATTGACTTCAACATCTCTGACTTGCTCACTCCTCCGGTATTGGAAATCAAAGACAGTGAAGGTCCTTCAGTGGAAGAGTCCACATCCCACCTTATCCCTGCTGAGCAAGTTTTCTCCTTGCCTGGAGAAAGGTAAGCATCATTATATTACATGTTTTGGCTATCTTCCTATAGTCTTACCTGAAGCAAGGAGTTTTCCCATGATATCAAATCAACTTTTGTAAAATGTGAACGGTCAAAAATTAACTTTGCTTTTCCTTTGTTTGGCCATTTATGTCTTTTAAAATATTGATGAACCACCTTTCCGAAATAAGTGCACCCAAGGCAGTTTACATGACCATCTGAACTCCTAAGATGTTCCTTAGATTGTATCTACAGGGAGACTATTCTCCAGGCAGAACACCCTACTGCTGCAACTGTAGAAGCATTTGCACGGTGGCAGTGGAGCATCCACAAGAAAGTTTTCACTGCACTTTCTATATTTTAACTCTCAGTGGCTGAGAGCCAGTTTGGTGTAGTGGTTAAGTGCGTGGACTCTAATCTGGGAGAATCGGGTTTGATTCTTCACTCCTCCACTTGCACCTGGTGATGTGACCTTGGGTCAGTCACAAGCTCTGCCACAGCTGTCCTTGAAAAAGAGCAGTTTGTGTCAGAGTTCTCTCAGCCCCACCCACCTCACAGGGTGTCTGTTGTGGGGAGGGGAAGGGAAAGGAGTTTGTAAGCCGCTCTGAGACTCCACGTGAAGGGCAGGGTATAAATCCAATCTCTTCTTCTTCTTCTTCTTCTTCTTCTTCTTCTCTTCTGCTGTTTCTCTCTCTGCCACTGAAGGGCTTTTAAAAAAAAAATCAGTAACAGCTATATTGCTATAGCATTATAATGTTATGCTATGGAGGTCCAGGTCACCACAGTTGCCAGGTCTGCCTTTTATCATCTTCAGCGGATCAGGCAGCTGGTTCCCTACCTCTCCCCCCAGGATTCGGCTACAGTGACCCATGCAATGATCACGTCCAGGCTTGACTACTGTAACTCGCTGTATGTGGGCTTACCCTTGAGGCTGATCCGGAAACTCCAGCTGGTGCAAAATGCAGCCATATCTAGAATGCTGGGTAATGAGCCCCCATTGCTCCCTACGTCTCCCACGCAGGCACTGACTAGACATACTTAGCTTCAGCAAGGTTGCTGCGCCATGTGCCTTCAGGTCACATCTTATTGCTGGTTGTTTTTAATTGGTTTTTATTTGTTCTATGGTATTAAGCCAGTTTGGTGTAGTGGTTAAGTGTGCGGACTCTAATCTGGGAGAACCGGGTTTGATTCCCCACTCCTCCACTTGCACCTGCTGATGTGACCTTGGGTCAGCCACAAGCTCTGGCACAGCTGTCCTTGAAAAAGAGCAGTTTGTGTCAGAGCTCTCTCAGCCCCACCCACCTCACAGGGTGTCTGTTGTGGGGAGGGGAAGGGAAAGGAGTTTGTAAGCTGCTCTGAGACTCCGGGTGAAGGGCGGGGTATAAATCCAATCTTCTTCTTCTTCTTCATGTGTGTAACTTGGAAGTTGCTGTTGGGAGACAATTTATCTGAAAGCATGGCACACAAATATTTTTAAGCCTTTGGTTTTAAGCAGTTCAAACAGAACATTTCAGATGCTTTCAGAATGTAAAAATTAAACAACAAATCACTACCACCACTGGTGCAGTGACACACGAAACACAAATATGCAAGCCATTTATCCCAGAGCCAAGAGGGTTTCCCCCCCTTCTGCAGCCAGTTGGAGCCTGACTGGTGGATAAAAAGACTTCAGGAGATAGACTTTGGGGGTAAAAGGGTAGGGACAGGGAGAGCCTAGTATCTCCATCTGTAAAACCCTACACACACCCCTCCTGCTTTACATACAGTAGTTGCAAAACCCCTGTAGCTCATTTGAAAGAAAGTATATTTAAATTGATGATGGCAGTGGAGAACAAAGTTGCCAACTCTGGCTTGGTGAGTTCCTGGAGATTTGAGGGCAGTGCCTGGGGAGGTCAGAGTCTGAGGAGAACGGAGTTCAGCTGGGTTGAGAGACCACTGCGTTCATCATCCAAAGCTGCCATTTCCTCCAGGGAAACTGATTTCTGTAGCCTGGAGATCAGCCGTAATTCTAGGGAAATTCCGGGTCCCATCGTGGGAGGGCATGTGGATTTGGCCTTTCAGGAAATTTTCCGGATCCATTTCAATCCGGCTTCAGGGTGGGATTTGGAACACAGAATAGATTGCTTTGGTCACCTTGGTTGATGACATCTATCGAGAACTAGACAGGAGGAATGTTGACCCTGCTATTTCTGCTGGATATCTAGCGTAGTATCCTCCTGAGTCTCCCTCTCAGTGCTGGGGACTAAGGGGCACCATGTTATGGTGGTTCGAGTCCTATTTGGGGAGGGGTCTCAGAAAGTAGTACTGGGGGATTCAAAAAAAAATGCTGTGCCCCAGGGTTCTTGACCTGTGAGGTTCGGCAGGATTCGATCTCTCCCATGCTGTTTAATATTTGCATGAAGCCACTGGGAGAGGTCATCAGAAGGTATGGGCTGCAATGTCATCAAAAACCCGGTTGATACCCAGCTTTACTTTTCTTTCCCATCTAATTCCAAGGATATTATTAGTGTTCTGAATGGGTGCTTGAAGTCAATAATAGGCTGGATGAGGGTGAACAAGCTGAAACTTGATCTTGACAAGACAGAGGCTCTCTGGGTTAGTAGAAAGGCAGACCGGAGACTTGAGATCTCTCTTGTTTTGGATTAGGGTTATATGCCCCTTGAAAAGCCAGGTTGCAGTTTGGGAGTGCTGCTTGATTCAGCAGTCACCTTAGAAAACCAAGTGGTTGTGGTTGCTTGGAGTGCTTTTGTCCAGCTTCGGCAGGTGCATCTGCTGCCCCCATTGCTGGTTTAGTCATATATAGCTCCAGTGATCCATGCCTTAGTTACATCTAGACTGGACTACTGCAGTGTGCTCTACTTAAGGCTGCCCTTGAAGAATGTTTGAAAGCTGCAGCTGGACTCCTGGTTGAGGCCAGCTACTGGGAGCTTGTGGCCCTGATACTACAGCAATTACACTGGCTACTAACCCACTCCAGGACTGTTTTCTCCCATACATTCCTGCGCAGGAATTAAGATCATAGGATGATGCTGTCCCACCAGTCAAAGAAGCTTGTCTGGTGGGCATATGAGAGATGGTCTTTTGGTGGCAGCCCAACAATTATGGAACAACCTCCCCAGGGAGGTGCACCTGGCTCCCTTACTTTCAATCATCAGGTGGCAGTTAAAGACAGTATTATTTAGGATTGCATTTTACTAATTTAGTTTTTATTTAGTTTTTATTTGTTGGCAGTCCCAATTGAGATTTTAAACTGTGGTCTTATGTCTTTTTTAATAATTATTTTATTTACACTATCAGCCACCTTGAGTTCTGCAAGGGACAAAGGTGGCAAATAAATGTTTAAGTAAATTGCAAAATCAATTTGGCATCTTTATTTATTTATTTATTAGATTTTTTGTTGCCACTCACCCAAAGACTTACAACATTAAAACAAATAAGGTAGAAAAAACCCAAAACCCAAATAACAAATTCAAAATATTAACATTAAAATATGTGGCTAGCGCCATACCACTAATAAAAACACCCAAAACATGGATTACTCTCCAAATGCTAACCTAAACAATTCAACCTTGCACGCCCTGCGGAACTAAACTAAACAAGTCCAGCAGGGCACGGGTGTCATCCAAGAGTTTATTCCACAAGGTAGGGGCCACAACTGAGAAGGCCTTTCCCCTGGCAACAGCTAACTGAGCCATCCTGGGTAGGGCTGCCAAGTGGGGGCGGGTAAACCCCCGCTTTGGAGGCCTGATTGCCGCCGCCGCGGAATCGGGCCCCGGGAAGAACCCCGGCCTCCCTGAAGCGCAGTGTGGCTGCGTCACAGGAAGTGACGCAACCACGTAGATCACGTAGGGGGCGTGGCCCCAATCGTCGGAGGGAAAACTCTATGGTTTTCCCTCCAACAATTGGGGCCACGCCCCCAACATGCTCTACGTCATGCGTCACTTCCTGTGACGCAGCCACGCTGCGCTTCGGGGGGGCGGGGGTCCCCCCTGGGGCCCGATTCCGCGGTGCCGCGCGTCTCTCGGCAGCTCCCAGACCCCGGCAATGCTCCCCCACCGGTGAGTCCAATCAACTTGGCAACCCTAATCCTGGGGCCAGGCATCTGCAAGAGTCCAAGAGATGATGGCAGAAGCGAGAGCGGGGGTGGGGGGGAAGGCTGTTAACAGGAGAGGCAGTCCTGTAGGTATGAGGGACCCAGACTGTTAAGGGCTTTAAAGGTTAGCACCAACACCTTGAATTTGATCTGGAAACTAATTGGTAGCCAGTGCAGATGCTGCAGAACTGGAGTAATATGAGCTGACCATGATGTTCCAGTCAACAACCTGGCAGCTGCATTCTGGACCACCTGCTGTTTCCAAAGCATTTTCAAGGGTAGCCCTAAGTAGAGCAAATTGCAGTAGTGACCACTGCATGGATCAATGTGGCAAGGTCTGATCCAGACAAATGAGCCAGCTGGCATACTTGGCATGAATGAAAAAACACTGACCATGCTACCATGGACACTTGTTTATCCAATGATAACACAGACTCAAACCACACCCCAAATCTACAGCTGTCAACTGGACACCTCTAGCTAGCATTTCAGTCTTTCCCAGCCATGTGACCTCCATCTTGGATGGATTCAACTTCAGCCAGCTCTCCCTCAACCATTGGACTACCACATCCAGGCTGAGAGCCCTGCCGCCAGCTGCTTATCCAGCAGGAGGAAGAGCTGAGTGTCACTCATCACCCTCCTGGTGATCTGGGCAAGAGGGTGCACACATCTATGTTAAATAACATCTGAGAGTGGATCAAACCCTGTGGAACCCCCACAATTCAGGTATCATCAGGAAGACCTCTCCTCCCCAATAGCAACCCTCTGAGAGTGTCCCTGGAGGAATGAAGAGAACCAGCTAAGGGCAGTGCCCCTTTCCCCCAAGAAGGCAAGGCGGTTGATCAGGACTGAATAGACAACTGTATTCTTTACAGATAATACTTCTCTGGTACTCAAATGGCCAGTTTGGTGTAGTGGTTAAGTGCACAGACTCTAATCTGGGAGAACCAAGTTTGATTCCCCACTCCTCCACTTGCAGCTGCTGGATGACCTTGGGCAAGCCATAGTTCTGTCAGAGCTTTTCTCTCAAGGACAGTTCTGGAAAGAGCTCTCTCAGCCCCACCTACCTCACAGGGTGTGGGGAGGGGAAGGGAAAAGAGTTTGTAAGCCGCTCTGAGACTCTGAGTGAAGGGCAGGGTATAAATCCAATCTCTTCTTCTCTTCTTCTATAATCTCTTAGAAAACAGGACTTCCCTGCCCAGCTAAAAAGCATCACTTGCAAGGAACACAGCTCACATGCCCTACGATGGCCAATGGTTAGGGTGCCCTCAGCTATTCTCTCACAGTATGGGCCTCCTATTTCACCGTGCTCCTCCCTATTCTGTTCTTTACTCCCTTGCTCCATCACTTAAAATGCACATCTCCCTCAGTTGTTCTCCTTTCAAGCATCAAACTCAAAGGTCATTGTTTGCTCAGAACAAATATATTCCTTTTGTATCACCCCCTCCATCTACTTATTATCTGAGGATCTGAATGTTGAGCTATTGCAATAAAGTCTTTATTTTTTTAAAAAAACTGACAGGAAAAACCTTGAGGTGGCCACAGGAACAGTTCTGCCAAAGGTGACCCAACCCCCTGCTGAAGCAGCAGTCTCCTTTCCTGCTCCTCCTGCTGATGATGCCTCAGCCTCACGCAAATGTAAGTCTGGTCTTCAGATGTGTCTCCTCCTTGGAACTTAAGTAACAGCCTCAGAAGCAGGGCCGGCCCCAGGCTTTTTTGCGCACTAGGCGATGCGACCTTCTGGCACCCCCCCCCCCACCGCGCCCACCAATTTTCAAACATAAATGCATTTAAGGAAGCTGGTTTTCATAGTTTCCTAGTTCAAAATTTCCTAGTTTCATAGTTCAAAATTTCCTTTACTGGGACTCACACTCCAGTGCAGCATAGGGGTAAAGCATGGAACTGAGCCTGGGGAGATACAGATTCAACCCCCCCCCCTGTTCCCCCCCAAAAAAACCCTCCTAAGTTTTTC